AATGTTATTAGATATCATTGATAAAAACATTTTATACCTCTAGTCTTTTAGCGATGTATGTCTTTAGTAAGAATGTGAGGGTTTAATATGGCATATAATTACTACACATCAACAGGACTCAATTATCAATAAGTATGATTTCTAGTATGAGGATCAAATCACAACTCATCCCCTCTCAGTTCCAGAATCTTCTGACAATAGCTCTTTGTTGGTTATGATTATTTAACTTAACTTTATTTATTTCTCATATAAAGCATATAAAATTATGCTTTTCACATGTACATGAATATGTAGGATATAGGTTACATTTCTTAATGGACTGCTTCTTTCACTATCTGGACCCATCCCCAAGCTAAGCAAATTGCTACATTTCTTACTGTGGCAAAAAATATTCCATTTTCATCTTCTGTCCTCAGGTGAGTCTGCCCCCTCTGGCAGAAATACCCCTCAGGAAACATCTTCTGTGCCAATTTAGGATCAGTGGGACTCTACAAATAGAAAAGCCTGCACTCGGTTGCTGTGTTCCCCAGTGTGTGCACTCTTTCAGCAACAAATGTGTGTGCACACATGCCCATATATGTGATGGAGGAATTTTACTGTGTAATCACCCTGTCATATTGGAAAGCCATCCTGGGGTATTTAGATTAGATTTTGATTCTAGGCAAAAAGTCATACTCACCTAGTGTTTTCTCTATGCTAGTGACAAACATTTTATATTAATCCCACTTTGTAAACTATCGTGATGATGAGATTTTGAGTTGGAAGTCAACTAGTTCAGCATCAGCAGGCCCCTGGCATATTTTTTCTCTTTGCTCTAGCCCTGTGTAATATTTTCAGCCATCCCTGGGACTTGAGGGATTACATTCTGTATGCTTTAGTTTACCGTCACTTGCATACTGAGAATACACAAATCCAAATATTACTGGAAAAATTCTTTCCCTGGGATGACTTGATCTTGGTTTTCTGTGTTTCATCTAATTTTTCCTTCAGAGGTATTTTCAAACCTCAATTGAATTTTCCAGGTTTGTAAAAGAACAATAATGTCACTTCAGACAATCTTATATATCAGATATTTATATTATGATTCATAACAGTAGCAAAATTGCAGTTATGAAGTAACAACAAAAATCTTGTATGGTTGGGGTTATCAGACATGTATTATCTGCTCTCAGTTTACTCCTTGGCATGCTCTGTTTTTAGTTATTTGCTCATTTGACACAAGTTATGATTAAGTAGCTGAGGCTGTCCTTTTATCAAGGATTCTCTTGTCTTTGCCTCTTCTTTTGCCAATCTCGGGATTCCTAGTCTGTACCACCAGGCTAATTTTGATGTTATAATTCTTTAATAGTCTATCAGCCTTAAGAGCATAGAATTGCTAATTTTACTTAATAATGCTGTTTTCAGTGCAAAGGTATGTTCATATACTTTGCCAGCCACATAGAAGCAAATAGAACTGACAGCATACCATGAAGGCAGCCAGAAAATTGGAAGCAACTCTAACAGAATGGTCCAGAGCAGCCAACCCTAGTCCTGAATTTGACACATGGTCTTGACACATAAAGCTGCCATCATCATGCATTCATTTGGGAAATAACTGAACTTCCCCCATGCAATGGCACAAAGGCTGACTTAAGCCAAGATAGGTATTCCCTAAATAGCTGTGCTTCCATTATGGTAAGCAGTCAGACAAACAGAAAAACAATTGCAATTCTAAATATAGTATTATGTAAGAGGCGAAAGATAAAGAAACACTACAAGGAGAAAAACTATGACTACATTTTTTTTAATGTTATATAGTAAGTTGCTGTTTGAAGCGGGTATATTCAGAAAGTTTAGTAGGAAGCATATGCCAGAACATAGAACATGCAAAAAGGCGATCCAAAGACAGATAAAAGAATGCTGAATATAAAGTCTTTTCTGTGATGTGATGAAAAGGCTAAAGGCAACTGAAATGTCAGGCAATTTTTGTTAGTGTAGAATTGTAGCATAATAAACAAGTTAGTCTGGGACTATAACAGGAAAATAGATTTTAGGGGTAAAGAGCTAGAAATCAAGAAAGCTGACACTTGGGCAATCCACTAGAGCAGTGGTTCTCAACCTTCCTAATGCTGCAACTTTTCGATACATGTTTTCATGTTGTGATAACCCCAAACATACATTACTTTTGTTGTTGCTTCATAAAGGTAATTTTGCTACTGTTAAGAATCATACTATCTAATATACAGGATTGTCTTAAGTGACCCCTTTGAAAGAGTCATTTGGCCCACAAAGGGCGGAAACTTACATGTTGAAACTCCTGGACTAGAGACATGATGTTACTTTTACCACTCAACAGTAGAAATTGTTAGAAATGAGAGGTTTAAGAGGTACAATTTGCCATGAGGTGTCCCTCAGAGCTGGTGGCTTCTGGGAGAGGTAGAGTCACTTACATGTGGGGATATAGTCACATCCAGACTAAAATAGGCAGCTCTAATTGAACTCAGTAGATTAATTAGTTAACTACCTTTAATGGGAGATCATGAAGTTAAGAGGAAGATGTGATGGAGTTTCTGTGAGAGATGGAGGTAATAGGTTACGATTACGAAAGATTGCAAAATGACATGATAGTCTCAAAGAAAACAAAATGCATATTTTGAAAGCTGTTTGCAAAGACAAATAAACAACACGGTGCATCATATTTTAAGCAGATCTGACGTGGATCTATTATTGTGAGACATGGAACCATCTTAGGAGATTCTGAAGAATCCCGAACCAGAAATAAGGAGGTAGTCAGTCGAAGAAAGGGCAGAGTGAACTTGGAAAAGATTGAGGTGGAATGAAAAATAAGCTGTCTAATTAAAACCTGAAGTCACAGAGATTAAAAAAAAATACTAGCGACTCTGTGTAAGATAAGTTTGCTAAGTTTCTCCACACCAGGAACGTCATGTAAATGAAAAGAAAGAGCAGTGTCAGCAAGATTGAAACTAGTGTAGGAGTTTAATGTAACAACAGTCTGAACTCTGGAAGTAGGCAAGGGAAACTCTAAAAAAAAAAAGACACAGATAATAAAATACAATCAAAAGCAGTGCAATGATTGTGTTAATGTGCCCTTAAAGATTGCTAAATGCTAATGTGGTAAAGGCGTGGAATACTATTGGAAAACAGTGAAACTTTCCAGAGATGGGAACTGGCCACAGACTTTAGGTAGTCTCGTTGGGTTTGTATGCTTGAAAAGGATTAAGCGATCTGAAACTCTTCTTCTTGTACGGTTTCCTGCAGTTGACTCTGTGTTAGCCATGAGTACACCCACTAGAAACCAAACAGTGGGCTATTTGGACCAGACCTAATACCACCAAAATTGTGAGCCAAAGTAGATTCTTATCTTTGTAACCTAACTCCTGCAGGCATTTCATTAAGGGAAAATTAATGAACACAAACATGGATTCCTGTAGATGTAGAAAAAAAATATACATATCCAATTAAGAAAATTTATGTTCCCACAAAAACTTTAAACTTTGAATGGCCTAAGATTTATTTTCCATGATAATAGAGACCAAAAAAAGAGGGAGGAAATTGAAGCATTCAGATAACTATCCATTCTATAATCAAAAAGAAGCATTTTAAGACGGAGTTTGTCTGTGAATGATGGCCGTAAGAAAGAGAAAAATTAAAGAGGGGTTACAATGAATGCTAATATGAAATAAATTGCTTTAATAAATGACTTTCAGGTAACAAGACCACATTATATAACTAGCAAAAATGAGACATGGATAACCTGCTTGAGAATTACTGTGTATCATGGCATATGAGGCATGGCAAATTATGGTTTGGGATAAATTTAAATGATTCACTTCAGGCTCAGTGTTCCCTCTTTCTAAATATGGCAATTATATTAATCAGCTCTCATTGTGAATGTGTAGTGCTATTGTTTGACTCCATATGTAAGTCATTTCCAGTCAATGATTCCTGTCAGGAAACATGGGGATTTCTGAGCTATAGAACAAAGAAGAATTTATTCATGTATTTATTGATAAGGCAATTTCTGCTATCTGGAAATTGAGAAGAATGCAGCACAGAATTGTGTATTGATTTTAATTTCAATACAAGAAGTAATAATATGTTGGGGTAGGTGGAGCTTGTCTTTTGCTCCTGAAATAAAATTGGTTTGTATGAATTCATGTTTATATTGAAGGAGTGATCAATATTATATGTAAAAGTGGGGGTTGCAGAGGAAAGCAATTAATAAAAGTGCATGTATCAAGACTGAAACACTCTTTGCTACATGTTATCAGAGAAAGAAATGCAAGTGTAATCTAAGCATTTATACATTCAATGAGATCCTTGAAGGACAAATTGGATTTGCTTCCTCATATAGAGTTGGCAAAGGTTAAAGATATAACCTAACTTCTCACTACATTGATACAAAGCACAAATAAAATGGTAAATTTATAGGTAAATAAAAACATTTGATATTTAAACAAAATGAATAAAATATGATTCCCCATTAAGGACTTTGGGTAAATATTTCACTATTTGTGTGACCTTAGAGAGACACTGAAAATGAGGTGAAGAAATATGGTATATTAGAAGAAAGTCAGGTAGGTTTATTGAACAATATCAAGGAAATAAAAAAGTTGTATGGAAAGATAGCCACCCAACCATAATAAGGCCATTGGAGATGATGAGAAAGAGTCATGGAGTTGGAAGTGGATGGTCAGCCATGTCAAAATTAGGACAGAAATCATAAATAAAAGAATATCCAAATTAAGAAAGAATAACACAAAATTAAAATTGTAGATCATAGAAACCATTGCAACCTTAGGGGAACATCTTGGCAGTGCAGTGGTGCCAGCCAGTTAGAAGATGATTCAGGTGGTGGAGAGGGCAGAGGTCTGGTTCTGCAGGTATATCCGGGGAGGTGGGCATGGGCAGGGCAGTAGAATTGAGTGACTATAGAGGGTAAAGGAAAGACCTTTGAGTTTTGTGTTTTTAACAATAGGAAAATTTCACTTTTGAACCAGGAAAACAATGGGAACTGGCGTTGAGAAGATGAATGCAAGAAACCACACACGGTATGAGCGCCGTTGCCACGCCTCCATTCTCCCTCAATTGATCCCATTCTTCGGACCGCGTGGCAGCTCTTACTTCGAAGAAATATGAAGAGTATTTCTTGAACTGAACCTAATGTAAAGGTAAGGATCAAAGTCCCAAAAGCTGGTTTAACAGGAGGGAATGCAAACCAAAATTTACAAAATGGAGTGGGGCAAGAACCCTAAAAACAGAATGCAATTATTTTTTGTTGTTACCTCTAAGGTATATTTGAAACTGTTCCATCTGACCACACTCCCATCAGATTCCTCTTAAGAATCACAAAATCACCCTCTATTAAAAAGCCTTCCAGGGTTGATTTATGTCAAGATGTACTCCAAAATTATATTTTCTACTTAACTATATTTGAAAGCAAATTGCTTGTTTTTCCTTTACTTTTCTCTTATCAAAAATACTTTGTACTTCCATTATCCTAATCTCTTGATATTACACTCCTTGTGCTGTTTTCCCCAATGGCATTTTAGTAATGCCCTGACTCATAATGGAACGAAACTCTAGTCATGCTCTTAGATCTAAGAGCACATGCTATTCATGTCTAAAATTGTCTACGCAATCAGGTTCTTGGGAAGTCTGAATCCCTGACTTTAAAAGCTCTTATGTGCCTTGCATCAACGCTTTACAAAGCCTTCAAACTATTCCAAGCAACCACTAATCTAGGAAGCTCAAATGGAAAAGATGAAAACACATACCAATCTTTTAAACTGTGTATCCATCTTTAAACTGTTGAAATTCAGTGACTAAAGGCGATGGCGAAGGAAAAATAGAAGGGCACATAACATGAAGAGAGGTCATTTCTAGAGGCAATGAACCAGCAAGTTATAAATCCAAATTTAAAATTGCATATATTAAAGTTGGTCACACTTATCTTTGTAATCCAGAATAGAAAAAGAGCCTCAAACTGAGTGATTATGGAAATATGACAGAAATTGAAATGTATAGCTAGAAACTGATAGCACTGTTTGTGCTGGATAATACCATGTCAACTTGACACAAGCTAGAGTCATCTGAAAAGAGGGAATCGTGATTAAAAAAAAAACGTCTCCATAATATCTGTCTCTAAAGCATTTTTTCATTTGGATAGTGCCATCCCTGGACTGGTGGTCCTGGGTTCTGTAAGAAAGCAGACTGAGAAAGTTACAGAAAGCAAGTCAGTAAGCTTACAATGGGCTTATTTATAGATTATTTTATAATCTTTTACCAGTACAAAATTTAGAATTATGGCTAAAAAGCTACAGTGCAGGTGGAAGGGGAAGCTGAACTGATCTCATTGGCTAAGTGGAAAACAGGAGACAAGGAACAATAACATGGGAAACTGATAATAAATAGAAAAATATATAGCCATGGCAGACTTAAAATAACAATATATTATCTGAAACACATGGATAAGCTATTTTTTAAGAAGGAGGGATTTCCAAACTATATAAAACAATTATATTTTTAGATATTGTTATTCCTAAATAATATACCTTCAACTTTAAGAACATCAGAAGTCAAAAGAAAAAGAAGAGAAAACAGATGTATTATCCTTATCAAATAAATAAGGAAGCAGGCCTGGAGGAGCATGGCTCGCTCACTGAAGGTTCTTCATATGGAAGGAATTCCTATAGTTCTGTGGATCCCCAGTTAGTCTCTAAGAGAGAATTGCCATTAGAGAGTGTGGTTGAGGTCTTGTTGACGTCTTCCTATTCATGAGACCTCTCTTGCATGCCCTTCAGCCATGGTGCTTTCTGCCTTTTGACCCCCACAAGAGGCTGAACCCATGAGTCTGCTTTCATCCCTTCTGAACTTGCTAAATTAATTTTTTGCTTTTCATTTGATCATGCTTTCAATTATAAAGCACCTTGACCTTTTATATGACTGTGGTCCCATGAATACCATTTAACCTCCATGGATCGCAGATTTCTCAGCTGTTATATGAATTTAAAAGGTAGTTCTTTTAGAGGGATAATTAATGGATGAAACAATTGAGTAAGGCCCTGGCATGCTGCTCAGCATTTGGCTCCATTGTAACTATTTATGGTTCTCTATTTTAATGTGTAGCTTCTACTTGCAAATTGGTTCCCACTTTGTCTCTTAGCCACCCATGAACCTGCCTAGGACATTGCAACTATTTTTGATTAGCAGTCTTAAATGACCTTCTTGTCTCTTGTCTTCTATTCTTGATTTCTACAGTGTTTTGCTTGGGGGATGGGAGCCTGAATAAATATTGTGGCAATAGATAGACCAATCCAAAACTGGTTATTTTCTTCAGAGGTGTAAATTGGTGACTTAGTACCCGAATCAGATGTTTTGATTTGTTGTGCTAACAGCTAATCAAGATAAGGGGGCATCAGGCCATTTTCTATTTAGGTTAGTTGGGGTTACAGCAAAGACATATTTCATGGTCCTAAATGTCCTGTAACTTTGACCGTTTGTTTACTAAGTGAATAGAAGGGTTTAAGTAAGAATAGTGAACTGTATTATAAAACCAATCCACAGAACTGTGCACTCCATCCCATTAACTATACACATTATCCTAAAATAAGGCACTTCTCAAAAGTTACCTTGTTTGTGATACAAGAAAAAATAGACAAGGATAGAAAGTAACAACACCACCAACAACAAAAAAAACAAAGCCTTAGACAAAGTAGCATCCATCAGTACCTTAAACACATTGATATTGCTGCTTCTTTCATTCTAAATTACATTTAAGTAGCAGGAGACTAAGACAGTGTTACCTTTTATAATGTTTTGCTTGATCCTTTGAAAGAGGTTCCAATGAGCCTGTACTTGACAGTTTCCTTCTTAGGCCATTTTCATACATCCATTGTGGACTATAAACACAAAGTTTTTCCAGTTAATATCACAAATGTGTGCTGTCATTTGTCATGATTTGTCTTTCTTGATTACTTTAACCAGAAGACCTAAAGGAAATATTTTCATTGAGTTAAGTTTAATTGAAGAATTTGAGTTATAGCCACGAAAGGACAGATTTTGGCAAACCACTTAAATACTCTCAGAATCTCTCATCACATCCTGAATTCTAATTAGGCAAATATAAATTGGTCTCTGTCAGAGCACTGTGCCCCCAAAACAAACTCCGTGTCTAAAATGAAAAGGAACAAACGTCAGCAAAGCTGAGACATGAGGATTTATGGTAAGAAAATCTTCCTTAAAGAAATAGTGCTTTTCATGTTGTTCTGTGTTTATCCCCAACCAAAGAAAATAATTAGAACTATTTTTCAAAGGTGAAAAGTAAAAATGTCCATATATGAATGCTATGGGTATGTACATATATATGCATGTACACACATATGTGTATATATGTATGTGTCTGTATGCATGTATGTATGTATGTATGCATGGGAATGATCAAGTTACCAGTTTTTTATCTTAGAAATACTAATAGGGCTTATCATGATAAAAAGGAAAAATTGTGTAGGACTTTATTTAGCAATGATCCTCAATATTGTGTTTTGATTCCGTGTTGCTTTTCATTACATTTATATCTGCTGTTTTGTCATTTTTGTCATCAAGGTGTCTGTCATGCTCTCTACTTTTGTACCGGTTTTGTGATCTTCCTGTTGAGACTACCTCACACATGTTTTAGGCTCTATGTCAATTTCATGGCGCTTCATACATTTGATAAGGATGAACAGACAATGGACACACTCAGACCTGATCATGTATCTTCCCAGCTATGCTCTGCCTAACACAATGCCATCCACATAAGGATTCAGTGCGTGGCTTAAAGGAGAGCTGATGGGATAGAACCAATCCATGTCTAAACATAGATTTGGAGGGCAACTGAAATGAGGCAGAGCTTGTTTGGAGTCAGTAAATAAGAACAATGGTTTAGAAACTCTGACAAGAAAATATTACTCAGTGCTGATAAAGGGCACACAGGCTTAATTCTACAAATGCCAGTAACCTTGCTTTGAACTGAGTTAAAAGACATAATGTTCTAAGTTAGCCGCTCACTGCTTCAGCAGAAAGTTGAGGTTTAAGAGTCTGTTTATTTAGCAACCTGTGATGGCATATGCTTTTACTCCCAGTACTCAGAAGGTAGAGGCAGACAAGTCTGTAAATTTGAAGCCAGCCTGGTCTACAGAGCAAGTTCCAGGGTAGCCAGGGTTACACAGAGATATCCTGTCTTGAAAACAAAACAACAAAATAAACAAACCAAAAATCTCCAAAACAACAAAAAACAAATAAGAATAAAAAAATAGTTATTAATTTTTACTACAAAAATTCTTTGCCATATAAATGACAATATTTGATGTTTAAACAAACATAGAGAAGTTGTCTTTTGTGGTTTTAGTGGAATAATATCTCAGGATCCATGTGTACTCAGGAAACACCCAAGCCAAAATCAAATTCTATTATGTATTTTTATTACATTGCTCTACTAATGTTATTTACACAAAAAATGGTTGTACAGAAAATATATCCCTGTCACCTACTACACTGGTGACTAATACATAAACTAGAGAAATTCTGTACTATTTCCAGATATCTGTTATTAAGCAAGTCAATAAGTGTAGTTATTCTAGTTAAGTGAAGTTTAATATTTTGAAGCATAAGAAATAAGTAGGGATGCTCAATAAATCCCAAAGCCATGCTATTCACTGGTACAAAGTCACCTATAAAGGGAAAATGGTCAAATATTGTCCAATAGCTCATTGCCATGCCATATAGTTTCTCAGTAATTTGTAAACATGAATATCAGCTGAGAATCTGGGCTCATGTGGATGCACTGGAGGGTATCCTATTTTCAAAAACATTAATTTGGAATGTAAATATACTAATGAATATGCAGTTTGAAAACTGAAATGATCATTTATTTCTGAAGCCTTGTTTCATTTCATTCTTTAAAGAGGAACAAAATTAGGATCAATGTCTATTACCTTCTGTTAGGTGATGGAGGATAAGGGATCACATGATTCATGGAAAGCCATTACGCATACTCAGTGCAAATTACTCAAGAATCAACAGGGTTAGCATCTACATAGGCCATCATTGCCTCTCTGCACATTTGGGAGTATGAGGTCCCCATTTTGAGGACTTTATGATAATACACCATTAATACCAAGAATGGCATTTC